TTGAGAATCAGTGCTTGAAATGAACGTCACGCTTCAATCTGTTATTTTATGCAGAAGATCGACTACACCGTGCCTTGTTTCAGGAGGCGAGCTTGCGGGACCTGTATTTTCGCCGAGGATGGCCTCATTGGTCCCATTCGTGCAGATAAGACAGAATACTGTCAATTTTTTCATGAGAAGTTTGTTGATTTATAGCTATATTTGTTTGATTTATATTCTTAAGAAGTATGTCAATTTTTATCTATACGAAAAGTATGTGGAATTATAGTTAGGGGTGTCAGTTGTATTTTACAAGTCGGGCAAAAATGTGAAGAGGAGTAGCTCAGGAGGACTTAGCTTAATCCCGTTCAGCATATGATCATATCTGAAAATCATCGAGACCTCGATAAGCATTAGTGATACATCGAAACGAAAGCTATTCATTAACACGGTCAGTCTTGTTTATCCAGTCAGTTTTAGTTGTCTCGTTGTTGCAGGAACCGCTCGAGAGTTGTGGAAGACGGTAACTTCGGTATCACCAGCTGGTATGAAGAAAGGGCGAGCCAAGACGCGGCAAAGTGTTTTGAATGTGCATAAATTTTATCGGATCGGCGCTGGTGAGTTTTTTATTCGTTTTTTTCAGCAATGCAGTGCGAAAAACGCATATTGACGAGAGGTTGTCTGTGTGTGTGTGTGTGTGTGTGTGTCTGTGTGTGCGCTGCGCGTCTGTGCCGATTTTTCATCTCGAGATCCACAAAAGCTACAGGGCTGAAACTTTGGGGACTTAATCTACATGCACATACGGGCCCCATCCCCAAAATGGGCGGACTTTCCCGCGTGGTACCCACCTAAGAGCCCGCCAAAGTTTTTTACGGGTGAGCTGCTAACTCGCGAACCAGAAAAGCTAGAGAGCTGAAATCTTAAGGGAATATTCCCCGTCCAAGTAGGTACTAATGAGCTCAAACTCAACCTCCGGTTAAGCGTGGCACCCGCGTACGGGTCCGCCAAAGTTTTCCCCACGTAAATTCATAACTCGGGATTCTGAGATGATAGAAAGCTGAAATTTTAAGGGAATGTCCCCGTCCAAGTAGGTACTAATGAGCTCAAACCCAACCCCGGGTAAGCGTGGTACCCGCGTACGGGCCCGCCAAAATTTTTCCTGGGTAAGTTCACAACTCGGGGATCTGAGATGCTAGAAGACTGTAACATTAAAAGGGTGTTCCCTGTCCACATTAGTCTCAACAAGCTCAAACCCAGCCCTCAGTCATGCGTGGTACCCGCGCATGGGTTCACCAAAGTTTTTCTCGGGTAAGCTCATAACTCGAGAACCTCTAAAGTTAAAAGACTTTAGTTTTAGGAAGATGTTCCCGGTCCAAATAAGTCTCAACGAGCTCAAATCCGGACATCGGGTATGCGTGGTACCTGAGTGCCGGTTCGTGAAAAATTTCTTCCGGTAAGTTGCTAACTCAGAAGCCTGGAAAGCTAGAAAGCTAAAATTTTAAGGGGGTGTTCCCTGCCAGTTTTGTCGGCCAGTCTTCATTTGTTTAGCTAGAAGGATCTGCCGAAAAAACCGATGCTGTAACGACAAAAACTGCAGGGAACTATGCAAAAAGCGCATCTTCGCACGGGCAGCCCGTGCGTTGCCCAATTATCTTCGTTTTGATATTGCGTTTGTTCTCAGCAACAGCGCAGTTAGCGGCGGTTTTTTTTCGACAAATTTGAAAAATATGTTTTACTTGCGTTTTTATATACGAATTGTCGTGCAGAAAGTTGTTGAGTAACCAGTTTTCAATTGAAATAATTTTTTAGGTCCAATAAAAGTTAAATTTCCTGGTCTTAATGCACCAGTAACAGCACCAGACAGTGAACCGATAACAGTGATGGAAAAAACAAAAGAAGAAATCGATGCTGTTGAAGAACGTCTGAAGAACATCATCGCTACTCGACCTTCGTAAGATTTTTCATACCTTAAGGGTTTCAAACTTCATACTTTCTGGTTTCTGCGTTTGCGACTGATTTCTGTAATTTTTAGGAAAAAAAGAGTGATCGA